GCGCGCCTTGTACTTGATCACCTTGCCCTGGTCGTCACGCTTCTTCTCGAAAGATGACCATGCTGCGGAGCAGCTTGTGGCCCTTGGGAAGGTCAGCGCGAGGCACGACGTCGTAGACGTCATTGGCCTGCATTGCCGCAAACTCGTCCAGGATGGCTTGGCGCCACTCCTCAGAGTCTGGCGAGGCAAGCGCCTCCTTGACGGTGGCTGGCTCAGCTGACGTGGCAACACTGCCAGCAGCGATGTCTGGTGGATGACCACCCACTGCTGATGTCTTCTCCCCCGTACCAGCAGCGCTGGTGGCAACGTGACACGTGGTGGTTGAGCCACCAGAGGTGCCCTTATCGCCGAGGGTCTCGGACAGCAGCAGCTGGTCCCAGACGGAGCCGCCAAGGGCGCGTGGCTGGAGCTGCTGTTGACTGTTGATAGGCAAGTCCTGTCTGCTGAGTCATCATTGACCTCCCTTCTTCACGACACCACAAATTTGCATTCACCTCTCTTGTGTTCTGGAATGTTCACGTGATTTCCCTCCAACCTGTTGCACGTGCAGTGTTTAGCTTGTGTGGTTGCTCGATGTTACATGCTCTTGCATAACACACCACATAACCACACAACTCTCAACAAACACTGCCACGTCACCACTTTGCGTTGTCGACAATTCTTGTCTTCTGCTCTGTTTCTTTCTGTTTGGAGTGTTCATTTCATCCTACATCCTTGTTTTGCTTTCCCAACTCAAGTAAACACACACTACATGCTCTTGCATAACACACCACATAACCACACAACTCTCAACAAACACTGCCACGTCACCACTTTGCGTTGTCGACAATTCTTGTCTTCTGCTCTGTTTCTTTCTGTTGGAGTGTTCATTCATCCTACATCCTTGTTTGCTTCACAACTCAAGTAAACACACACAACTCTCTCTTGCCAAGCCAATCTCCCACACAACACACAGCACACACACAGCACACAACACACACAGTACACACAAGTCTCCAACAACAGCACCACCACCATGAACTTACAACATTGGCAAACAAGACAAAACCACACGAGAATGCAAATTCGGAAGGACTCAACACAAAACAGAAACTCACTGACTCTCAACAAGTGCCATGCTCTCCAAGACACCTGACCTGCACCTGCTTGAGGCTGCTGATGCATTGTTATCAAGCGCCTTGCGAGGGTCTGTTAAGCTTGCAAAATGAAGTGTTACGTGTAACGCTGTCGCCTATGTACTTATCAACACGACGGGTACACACATACGCAAGCACACACACGCACACACGCACACACACACGCACACACACACACACACACACACACACACACACACACACACACACAAAGCAATGGTGAACAGAGCAAAGGCGAGGAAAGTGAAAGCATTGACACTGGAACAGTGATGTCAACAGCCAGAAGTACGTTCAAACACATACTCGTCTTCCTCGGTCGATACCGCTTCTTTGACGTCTGG